GTCCGGGCATCGTTTGCTATGCCAGAGATGGAGGTGGTCAGGAGACGGATTAAAGCACAAACAAGGAAACAGAGATCCTTGTCATGAGAGTCCAGATTAAGTGAGAAGAGGCCGAAGTGAAAGGTTTGGAGGTGTAAAGGACAGCAGCTGAGGGAGCATCTGCTGAGTGGTCACGTCACTGCTAAGTAAATAAGAGGACTGTGGGGAGCAGGGCGGGCAGTGCTGAGATCAGATATCTTGAGAGTGTAACAGACACAATCAGAAACGTATGATATTTTTATAGCAACGCAGCCTGGAAGTAGAAGTACAGGGCTTGTTTAGTGGAGGTCATCCTTAGCTGTGGGACTGAGAAAAGCCTGTAGCAGCTCCAGAGATCACCATGGGTGGGAGCAGATGAGGGTTTGTGGACCAGGAGACGATGGAAGGTTGAGGGAGCTTCTGCGCAGCCTGTGTGAGAGACATGGAAGGTGAGGTGGTTGTCATCAGAAGGGGGGAGTTTCCCAGGTGGAGATCTTGGCGATGGAGCAGCTGCGAGTGAGGATGAAATCTAAGGTACATGTATACTGGTGGCTACATAATGCGGATGATAGGAAGGCTACTAGAGCAAAGGGATTGTGATTGCAGCGGCAACACTGAATTTGAGAGAATGACGGGAATAAAATGGGTGGAAAGACCACGAGGCAGGTTCTGCTAGTGTGAGGACATGTCTGTGCTAAGGAACTGAAATAGCTAATGAGCAACAGAAGGGAGATCTAGCCCATGAAGCAGAGAGAGGCCGCAGAAGGCCTCACGGATGTGAGCAGCACTGGAACTTCTCTTGGCCCTGTGGTTAGTTAGGGGTCTGGTCTTCCCCGCAGGTATTGTGAAGATCCAGGGGGCAATTACATGAGCAGGGGAAGGAATGGGGGAGAGAAATGATTTGAGGCTATAGAAAAGTCTGTCTTTAATAGAATTAAAGTTCCAAAATGATTTGTGAAATTGTTTAGTATGATAGTTCTTAACCTTGACTGTACAATAGAATAATCCAGGGAGTATTAAAAACCAAAAACAAACAAACAAAAAACTCCAATACCCAGACCAACTAGATCAAACCTTTGGGATGGGACCCTGGAGGGAGTCTTTTTAAAAGCTCCCGCCAGATTCCCGTGTGCACTGAGCTGGAGAACTGCTAGTTCAGGAAGAGCGTGAGTCAGGCGTGGGGTAGGCCTGACGAAGGCGGAGGCATTGGGAGTGATGCAGAGAAAGCACTGATGGCTGGCAGCGATTAGAGAAGCAGGGAGGTGGGAGAGACTGCTGCGGACATTAGCAGGCAAGAGGCCAAGAAGGCAAAATTTCGGGTCTTTTTGAGACAGGCAGCACCAAGTTTCTAGTTCCAGCGTGAGTGTGAGGTGGTGTTGACATGACTGATCTGATTGTCTCTTCGGCATGTTGGGTAGACCGTTTACCTATAGCTAGGATTTTGGTATTTCTGTACTACTAAATGTCCAGGAGGTGCAAGAAAGCCTCATCCATTACTCATGTTTGTTTCAGGGTGACTGCTGGATCTCCAGATGCTGAGAATTTATAAATGTCTATTTGGAAAGTGTTGACCACAATACAAACTGCTTTTGAGTTGATTTCACTGCCTTAAAGCTGTTTGTCAGTCTTGACATTTGCAACTCATTTCCACTAGTTAAAATAATTGAAATTATTTTCTAAACTATTACATTTTTTGGCATGAATTTGCTTGGTGTCTGTTGGGAAGATAGGTCAAGATGCCTGCGTAAGGAACTATGTGCGTGAATATAAAGTATGTGTATCCAATATTACTAATATGATGTAGGTCTTCTAGGGTATGATTTTTGCAATGATTTTTTCTTGGAATTGTTAAAAAGATCTGCTTTAATCAGACCCCACAGATCCCCTACACATACAGTTTTCCTTAAGAAGGAGTTAAGTCTAGCACGATTTCTATCCTGACAATGCCTTAGAAGTATCAAGTTTGCAAGGCATATAAAAGAACCTTAAGCTTTACACTAGAGCTGTGTGTTCATCTCATTTATTCAACATCAGAAAATCCTACAGGCCTGACCATCGAAAATATATCCAGCGACAGACCAAGTCTCATCCCCTCCCCTTAGACCATCCTGGTCAAATCCACTATGAGGCACAGGTGACTGCAGTAGGCTCCTAGCTTGTCTCCTTGTTGTCACTGGTGTCCCCTACGATCTGTTCCTTTGGACCCTACTTCCTAGGGGATCCAACCACCTGAAACTCAGTTTTCATGACCCAGAACTACTCTCTGGGTAGAAAC